TACATCTTCTGCATCAGTTACTATCATCACTATTTGATTTAACAACATAACGATGTCTTCATCAGTCAAATACTGGAAGCCAGGCTCACATGCATCACTTTGAAACCAATCTTCTAAATTTTCTTTATCAAGAATTTCGAAACCTTCGATTTCTTTTGCTTGTTCGAGAATACTGTTATCATATTTTTCTTGAGCATCTGAAGAGGATTGTTCATCAAGCGGTATGATCTTTCCCCAAGATTGTGATAACGTAGACGATTTTACCCTGTGACCATGTTGCTGATATTCCATATACTGCAATCCAATAACGAATATTGCTTCCAAAAATTTGGTAGTGTTATAACTTCATGAATAAAATATTTTTAATCTTGAAAATGTTTCTCTTTATATTTTTTGTGTGATTCCGGAATGAGCTCGGATAATCCGCAAACCGGATAATCCGCGCACGGATAATCGAGAGTGTACTGTATCTATACAAATTAAGGGAAAATCAACTTAGACTGAACAAAAAATATCTGGAAACCATAACTTTATTACAAGAATATACTTGAAATGAATGTGTTGTTCTTTGTGTTAAATAGCTCATAGTAAAATAATTATTTATTAAAACATTAATTAATACAGTACAAAGTCCTATGTATTTTCCTGACACTTTTTTGTCAAAGTAGACAAATCGCTTTTCCTTTAAATAAAATTTTTTTTACATTAAAATTATTTTGCAATTCTTAGTGTTTTGTTTTTGCAAAGATACCTGTATGTTTTACTTTTGTTTTGTAATTAGACCAACCTTCTTCTGCTAGATGCAAATAAAGGGGAACTGTATTGCAGGGTGTCAAGGATGCTGAATTTTGAAGAATGGAGGATAAACGAGTAGCCGACTACTTTGTAGTTGCAGGTTTTCTGGACAATGCTTTACCTCTCGAAGAGTTCTCTCGTGGTGGAAACAGTCTCAAATCTACACAGTTTTTGCTGCCCATCACTGATGTGGCCATTATTAAACATAGCCAGGGAGGAACAGTGTCGAATGGTTATACATGCATTGAATGCACTCCTCTTGGTTTTCCTGCTGATTTAAAGCATGGAAGTCTATGCAGTCCAAACATCTTTTTCTGTTACTGCCGGGGTAGGTATAAACCCCCTCTCGTTGATATGGGGTGAGTACAATTTTAAATTGTGTTATTCAGGGTGCGTAGCATTTTTGAAAAGTGCTTAAAGGTGCTTATTTTTCTTGTGATTTTTAAAAGCCCTTAAAGGTGCTTTTTTTTTGGTGTTTGTAAGAAGTGCTTAATTTTCTATCTTTTAAAAGAATTTTTTGCCGTGTCAATTTAAATTCTAAATCTTCATGCAAAATACAAAAAATACATGATTTCCACAATTTTCTCTGCAATATTTATCAGAAACTATTTATTTTATCACAATCATGTAAAGTTTTTTAGAAGTTTTTTAATTTTATTGATTTTGTGTTTATAAATTAAGAACTTTAAACAATTGAAAAATTTTTTATTAGTGCACAGATCCTATTGTGATTTTTCTTTTGGAAAGTGATAAAAAATATTTTTTGAATGCTTAAAAAGTACTTAAAAGGTGCTTATTTTGTGTTGAAAAATATAGCTAAGCACAATGTTATTACAGTTTGGTTTCCTTTAAAAAAAACTTATTTACAGTCTTTTCTTTTCCCCTGATTCTAGTTAGTAACAAAAGCCTTGTATTTGAAGGCAATACTGTTTAATATAGTATCTGCATCTTATTTTACAACTCAGTTTCTTTCTTATTAAAAAAAAAATTATTAATTTTCTGCACTGTCTAAAATATGAAGATACCATATTTTTGTAAATATTACTAGTTACATATTCAGCCTATGTTTTGGACTTATTTTCCCTGATTGATTATTGAGATCACGGACAAAATTTAAAACCTATAAAATAAGAGCATTCTCATTAACCTGTAACACTGCCTGCCACCTACCTCAATGATGAAAAAGTGCACATCCTTCATATATCGCAAATCTTTATCTCTTGTCATTCAAAACTTGCTTCATAGCAGCTTTGAAATTCACAGTAGTTTTGGAGCAGCTCCCCTTGCGATCTTGTAGACTGCTAATATCGACCCCCACCTTAATTAAAATGCTATTATTTAGAATACTTAATTTAAAATGATAATTTTAGCTTTTAATAACAATTTGTTTAGTTCTAATTGTTGTTTAGTACAAAATTTTTTATTTCATTAATTAGCTATTATATTAAGTTATTTAAAATAATTTTTATGTTTTATTAAAACAGCAATTTAAAGTAGGGTTTGTACTGGCAACTAAAAGCTGCTTTGGCACTTTTTACTGAGATGAGAGAGGGGGGGGGGACTTAGTTTTGTAAAAACCAATAAAGGAAAGTTGCTTTAACCTTTCAACTGTCATGCCCGAAATGATCTCAGACACAGCAGTGTTCCAAATTGTCACAGCCGAGTATTACTCAGGGGAATATATTTTTATTTTAATGCATCATATTGTTATACCCGAATATATATCGTGAGAAGTTTATTTTGGCTTCATCTCTTTGTTAAACCCGATTCTATCTAGAGAAAGTTAATTTGGAACAATAGATGGCTGCACTTTACTGAAGATTTCAAAGGTTTAAGTTCAAAGGTTTTCTTTTCTTTTTTTTTTCTCTGTAAAATGGCATCTAGTTCTTTGAATCGTTACAGAGATGATTTATTTTTGCATCTAATTCAAAGTATTAATTTTTAACTACTAAGTATATTTGATTTTGTACTAAACATTTGATTTTTGCAATGAAAAAAAAAGTTTGATAATTTATGTACCCAAATTATCAAAATAACTTATAAGTTAAAAGGTTGAAGAAAAGTTGTGTGAAACTGTTGATGTATTAGGTTGTGTAGTTGATTAATTGAGCTGCAAGTTCTGAAATTGTTTATTCTTTATTTTTCACCCTGATATCATGAATTACTCCTTACATGAATAAAACTTTTAGTCTCGATGTATTCCTTAAATTAGTATGTATTAATATTTGTTTGAATTGCCTTTTTGATTTGCAGTCTCTTTTACTGCTTAAAATAACTAACAGAAAACCAGTTTATTCATTTTAGTGAAAGTAAAGAAATTCCCAATTACAACCAACAACTAGTTTTAAAGGGACCAATTTAGCAAAGTTGTGTCTATTTAGAAGCAACACAACTTTGCATAGCTTGACAGTTTGCTTAGCTAGAAGTTGCTAGAAGCTGGCTAGAAGTTTCTGTTGCTAGAAGCAAAAGTTCGAAGTGGTACCTTCGGAAATTAAAATAATGGGCAGTTTTTCACAAAATATCTATTTTATTAATTTATAAAAATAATAAAGATTGTTTATTGTTTACAGCTATATTACTTTGCTGAATATTGTTTACAGCTGTATTACTTTGTTTAAATTTTATTCAGGGTACTTTACGAAGGAAAGGAGAAAGTCATGGCTGACAGTGAAGTGGTCCTAAATACACCTGGTGGTCATTTAGCAAATGTAAATAACAGTGGTTCAAAAACTTTTTACATATTGGAAAGCACCTGAAAATGGTCCCTGCAATCAACTAGTTGTTACTAATATATGTATCATATTAGCAAATAAGGTAATTTATCTTTGCTTCTTCTTATTTTTAAAATTGCTGCTGTGAGTATGCAACAGTCCCAACAAGAACACGACTTTTGGGCTAGTTGAGGGACAAAGTCGACTCACCGCCGTATCGGTTTTCATCGCCGTATCGGTTCCGTTAATAAAGTGAAATCTGGACCAAAATGAGGGCCAGTGCATGGCAGTTCAGGCAAACTTCTGGCAATCATTAAAGGACCGGAACTACTTTGTTGCCTCAAGATTGCTTTGCCATTTTTGCCGGTTAAATACCGAAATTTTTTTACCCCCCACAGAATAAAGAGAACATTGCCGTAAAGGCTTTTATTGTACCTTTATGATGTCTTTTTGGCCTTTTTATAAAAAGCTGAATACGTTCACTGGCACACGTCGTTGCCTCGCTTGCCATTAATACACCTTAACTGTAGGCTGGTTAGAAAACGTCTATGCCGTTTTCACCCGTATCGCACCTTTATTTCAGGTGCTTAGGCGAACTTCTTTGCCTTATTTACCAATATACCACCCTGAACTCACCTCAAACTCGGTTCAATAGAAAGTTTTAATGGTGTCCTTGCCGGTATCACACCTTTATTTCAGATGCTTAGGCGAACTTCTTTGCCTTATATGCTGATAAACCACCCTTAACTCATCTCACACTTGGTTCAATAGAAAACTTTAATACTGTCCTTGCCGGCATCACACCTTTATTTTAGGTGTGTCGTCATTTTTTTTGTTAGTTACTTGCCTTTATTAGAACTTATCGTAGCTTTTAATTTCAAAGGCTTTTTGCAGCATGTTGTTAACAATTCTTCTTTAGTGAACATAAATTGTCACAAGTGTTTGTCTTACACTGCTGATATCAGCGATAGTAATTTATTGTGTTTTAGCTTTTTATATTGTAATAAAACAACAACTGTTATTACATGCATTCTTTTTTATGCCAATATAGAAAACAAAATGGTATAAAACAATTGTTTAATTTATAATCAAACATCATCCAATGAATCTTCTTACAGTAGAGTAGATTTTTTTTTATTTCATTTTGATCAATTATAAATGCAATCACTTAAAGTAGAAGCATATAAAAAAAATTTAGAATTGAGTGTTTAAATTTTTTAAACATTATAAGATAGATAAAATTAAGTACAAATTTTTATNTCTTTTTGAATTGAGTATTTAAATTTTTTAAGCATTTTGAGATAGAGGAAATTAAGTACAAATTTTTATTCTAAAATAAAACACAATGCAACTCAATAAATAAGTTATTTAAGTTTTGAAAATATTGCTTATATATTTAATACCTGCAACCAGCTTTTATTGATAGAAACTTACACACAAAAGTTTATTTATCCTATAATTTTGTGCCCATTCATCAAGTCATTTATTTTATTAAATATTAGATAAACAATATATATCATAAATAGTTTTTTTTAATTTTAAATATTTTGTACCAGTTAATAACACACATATTTAATCATTTTAAATATATAAAAGCAAGAATTTTAACAACAATAAAATGCTTAAAGCCTTTAGGAAAGAGTTTTATTTCCTTGTAACAAATCAATACGTCAGTATGTCAACTTTTACGTATGGACAAAAATAATTTCTTTATCCCATTCCAGAAGCTTTCCTTTTCAATGAGACTAGTTTTCCTGCAAAAAATAAAACAATTTATTTTATTATAGATATATTAGATGATGTTTACAAT